TCCCAAGCAGAGAGGCAGAGCATATGAAGGACGATATAGAATTAATGTGTGTAGCATCCACTGTTGCCCTTCCACGTCCTTCTCCTGGTTATGGATTTAGCAGCTTCTCTTGGCATTTCCAAGCTGCAGTGAGGAAGCATCTGCAGAAGAGGTTTTAAAGGCCTTTCCGAAGGGGGTCCACAACCAAATGCATTGACAGTTCAACAATTCCGCCTCTGCCAACCCTCTGAAAAAGCATCATGGATGCCTTTGTATGAACTCCCAACTCTTTCCTAGATATTTTTAGGCACGACACACCTATTTTTACAGCATCAGTCAAGCTGTGACACAGCCATCAAACTAAATAGCAAGGAAACGTATATTGGTAATGGCAAGAACATACTTGAAGCCTGGGTGGAGGAGCTGAACAGCCCTTGAAGGGGTTCTCCTTCTGTGGTGTCCTTTAGGCTCTCTCCTCCCAGCCATACCACTCCTATGTTTAGTATCCATCAATCATCATTAATTAGCAACACAGAGTAGTGGTAATTACTGTTCCCCCCTCCCTGATGGCATTTTCCTTGGATAATTGTAAGTAGCTGACCCATAACTGCACATTTTTTTCTTGTAAGGATCGACCAGAGGTTATGCACTGCAGTTTTCTTGTAAGGATCGACCAGAGGTTATGCACTGCAGTTATCTGGTTTTTGCAGGATGGAGAAGATGCTCTGATTGGTTGGGTTAGAAGGCCTTATGTATTTGTGGAAGGGGCAGGCACTGTCCTTCCTACTCCAGAAGTTAGCACCATCTTTTACAAGGATACCAACCTGGGTGGGGTTTAGGTGGGCAAGTTGCATCTGGCTCTCTCTTCATTCCTTTTTATAGCTTCTTCTATATTGTACTGCTAAAATGTATAGTAATGCATTGATTCCTTCTTCCCTGCAGAAAATCCCGCCAAGTGTGTTAAATATTCAGTAGCTTAACACCCACACACAGCCCCATGTAAGCAAATAAAGGGACAGAAATTTCAGCCCAATCTCCTCCAATGATTTCATAATATAATTCCCACAGGATTTTCAGAGGCTGAAAAAAAGATCTATAGTTACAGAAACAATTTCCTGTTCCTGGTGTAAATATCAGAGTAAGCATTTAATTCTTTTAAAGGTGTGTAAGTTGTGGAGGGTGGGTGGTGGTAGAATTCACTGAAAATTACCAAGGGTTAACAATAGAACATTGGAGAAGTAATTCATGCTACATTCATGGCAAACTGAAATCTGGTATTAATATAGATTGAATCTGCAGTCTCCTAAATCAGGAGATATCATAATTACTTTTTATTTATTTTTTTTAAACTAGGATCCTGAAATTTTCCTGGTGCCTGCCCCCCTCCCCGCCATCTCTATCTCAGAACTGAAACCATTTTGAATGCCACCACTGAACAGAGCTCCTAGGTCTTCATCTATCTTTCGTTACCTCAAACTTTCTTCATTTCAGGATATAATTTAGTGGTGTTGGAGGAAATGGTTACTCTCTAAAATTCAGGAAGGCACACTTGGCTTCAGTTTCATTTCATTCATCCAGATTATTTCCATGTGGCATTTCTTTAAGGCGTGTATCTACTCTTGCATATCATTTGAATATTATTCCCAAATCATCTTGATGAAATAATCCGTTCCGGTTTTATTTCAGTAGGTGGGAGCAAAATGTTTGATCAGTGCGTGCATCCTATATGCATAGTAGTATAAGTCCACAAAAAAAGAATTTTGAGGTATGTAGATCTTTACATCAAGGTTGTCCCCCTTTTCCCTCCTCCCTCCAAGTTTTATTAATCTGCCCATGTACACATTGACATTGCAGAATTAAATGGGGGATGCAAATGAGCTGAAGGAGTTGTTAAAGCTGCATCAAGATGTGCATGTGTAACGGCCTGCCAAAAATGTGGTAATACCATACTGGTATAATTAACTATTGCTCATAATTAGGAAACAAGACTGGGTCATTCAGAACTTCAGAGTTCTAGTCAAAATTAAAAAGCAAAAAATGGGAGGAACAGCTCAGTTGTATGGAGCCTAGATTGCCAAAAGCCATTCAAGGAAAGAGTGTAAGAGGCATAAAGCGTTCCCCTCTCAGGGATTGCCCTGAGTAGTAAGTAGTTACAATAGAAGAGAATATAAGTAACTCAGGGTTGAGCACCAAGAGAGAGCACTCAAGAGCACTTAGAGACCACCAAGGACTCCACAATGAGTAGTTAATTCAGTTTGCTCTTTGGCCAACTTTGCTTCTCAGTGCAAGAAGCTCGAACATGCTTATCCTTTTGTCAATGCAAAGAGGAGCAGTTTTCAACCTTCTGTATGCTCAAAACCTGAAAACGCATGACCTTAAAACTTGAAAATTGGTTACGTTAAAAGGCTCCAATTGGTAAATCGTCTGCCGCCTTATAACCTGCTTTGAATAGTTGAAGCAAGAAGGAAGTAGGTGAGTAATTCCCCAAACACTTTCCAAACAACACCTTCTGCGCCTCTTTCTGCTGCACAGCCTTTTCCCCCATGTTGTAGATTTTATTTTATTTATTCATCTTCTAACATAGTTCTGGGATCAGAATGTCCAGAGGAGCCTAGGGTTGCAAAACCTTGGCCAGATCGTAGGGACTGTGGTCAGGGTGGTTCCTTCAGGACCTTGGAGAGATCACGGAAAGCAGGCAACTAAATCCCGCAGTCACAAGTTAAAAGTGTGTGACTTTTATGCTTTGGGTGATATGTTGACTGCTGCACTCCAGATATGGGCAGGGCCAAGAATTAAGGGGGGGGGGGCTAATTAGGGGGAGGTTGGAGAGATTGGGGGCTTATGTGGAGAAATGAATGCCATAAGCCTTGCAGAAGTGTGAGGCTTGTTTTGCCCTCAAAATTGTCCCAAGACATAAAAACTCTTAAGAAATACTGTGTGTTTTGTCCCTGCACTCTGGGGTCACAGAAGGGTACTGTGGGCTGCATGTACATTTATTAGAGTAGCAGAATACCCCCGATTTCAGTGCATCAGTAGGGAGTGGAGAAATTGGAGGTGTGGGCTGCTCCATGCATTTGGGAAGCACCCATCATGCTGGGCTCCTGTAATGGTATGTGGGAATGACCTTGGGAGACAGGAGGAATGAGACAGAAGGAAAGGGGACAATTCTGCAAGTTTCTGTTAATGTAACCTTACAATAAAGACAGAGTTAGTACTCCTGATTGTGCTTCTTGTCAGAACTACCTCAAAGGGGTAACATCAGACTTGCAAGTCTGAAAGTATTTCTCCCCTCCTCTCCTTTTACTCTTCGGAAAACTAGGGAGGGTCCCTTCTGAAATGCTTCCCACATCCCCTCTCCTTCTGTGGGTTGAGAAATTTGTTACATGCCGGTGGTCCCATCTGCGGCCAAGGTTATTCCCACAGACCATTGCACCTACTTCATTTGGTTTTGGCTTGGACATTGGATCCATCTTTTGTGGCTTGTAAACCATAGTTTGTGGCTGAGATGTTTGTACGAATCTAACAGCTGTAGCTTTAATATAATTATGGTTTCACTTAAATGAAACGTTGCCTTCCATCATTTCAGTTCTGGGTGTTCCATGAATTTTCTTTCTGATGTTCTACCCCAGGAGGCCCCTTTAGTTCTTGAAATTTCCTATGGTACCTTTCATGGGAGACAAAAAGCATGATGCAGATCATGCTTAATCAATGTTAAATTGCACTTAGTCCTTTTAAGGGGGAGGGCTCTTTGAAGCTGAATTACGTTGTCACCTCCTCATTGTTTTGTTTGAATCCTGCCCTAAAGTCCTGCCATCATGGCACTGCTATTTTTTTTTCCCATTCCCAGACCCCAGATGTTTTTTTTAATTAGTTTCATTACAACAAAACACACTTTCCTCTTCTTCACTTCTCCCCACCTTATTTAAAAACTCCTTTTAATCAACTCCTTCCTACTCCGTCTTGCAGCCTCTGTTCTTTTCCTCTCCCTTCTTGAGAGCTCGAAATAAATTGATTTCCTTGAAAAGGAGGCCGAGATAACAAGGCTATCAATTAATAGCCCAAGTGGAATAAAAAGGAGGAGCTGGGAGAGTCTCCTTTTTAGAATGCAAATATTACCTTTTAAAGAAATGTGTGAGTTGTTAGAGAAATCAGATCAAAAGTGTCAGGAGGGAAAAGCTTGCTTCTGTCTTGTGCAGAGTGATGAGTTCTATTAAGTCCAGCAAATGAAGTGAGATTCCTTCTGATTCTTTTTTCACCAGACGCAGGAATGGCAGCGTATGTGACTGTGTGATGTAGTGTTGTACTATGCGCTCTCTCTCTCTCTCTCTCTCTATATATATATATATATAAAACCATAATTATATCAATATATATATTGATGAAAAAGAAATTGCTTTGAAAATTAAATTTGGATAAAATTCATGCAGGTGGGCTGCTTGGTGCTTATTCTGGCCTTAGTGATGAAGTGACCAAGGCATGCGTGTGAATTCTCTGCCTTCATCCTCTCTCCATCAGTCTTCAGCCTCCCTAAGCATTCAGTCTCGGTTGGGATGAACTCTCTTCCCATGAGATTGGAAATAGGGATAGCCAAAAGGAGGAGACCACAGAGTAATAAGAGAGATGTAATGGAAAATACAAGATCAGCATCCTCTTCTGACCTACAGAACCAAAGTTTAAAAATATACCCCCAAATATTCTAAAGCATCCCATGAAAATGAGAGAATAAAATAGAAGCTTCTTTCCAGGAAGGTGGAAAATAGAGGAATTGGAAGACACGTTTTGATATTATGTCCAGATGTCTCCTGGTTTAAGAATCTGTAGCTTCTATCCCTCCTTCTAATTCCTCATTGCACGCTAGCCCAATTTCTAGATCAGCACCATTGGATATATTTACTTATTAAGTCAATTTGAAACTGATTGAAATTGTAACATACATCTGCTGTGACAGAGCAGGTGCTGCGAGACAATGCTTCAAACTATTGGTGTGATTGATACTTCTCTTTCCATTTTTTTTTCCACAGGAGGTAGTCTTTCTAAGCAAGATTGGACCATCCAGTGGCCAACAACTGAGACTGGCAAAGAGAATAGCCCTGTGTGCCAATCTGAATCCATGCAGTGGATCCGAACTCATCTCCCTTTGAGTCCCAAAACCAAGTCCAAATGCATTCAACATTACTGCCACCCAACTTTGTCCCATGATCTTGTCTACACGCACATGGACAGGCTAACAGTAGAAGGTTTTCCAGGACTGTGTCCTCCACTGGAATCAGGCCACCGCTCCTTGCCCCCTTCCCCACGCCAGCGGCATGCAGCCCACACTCCGCCATGCACCCCTAATATAATAACCACCACGACTGCTCCAGGCACACCACCAGTCAGGAGGAGGAACAAAGTGAAACCCCCGGGCACACCACCCCCTTCGTCTCGGAAACTGATTCACCTCTTCCCAGGCTTCACCGTCTTGCATCGGAGCAAGTCTCACGAGTTCCAGCTAGGCAATCGGGTGGACGAGTCTCACACACCCAAGTAAGTGGCTTGAAAACAAATGTATTGGCAACAGGAAGATGGGGATTTATACCAGATTATATCCAGCTAGCCCAGTATTGTCAAAACTGAACCTAGCATCAGGTTGTCAAGGTTTCAGGCATCCTACCTAAAGATGCAGGGGTTGAATTTTAGGCTTTCTGCTCACAGAGACAGTCTTGAATTACAGGAAGTCTTGAGCTAGGAAAGACCTTGTAATATTACAGCAGTTTAGCAGGGGAACCAATGGCCTAGGAATGTGGTAGATTCTCCTTCACTGGATGATTTCAAGCAGTCAGATGGGAATTTCTTGAAGTTGCTTCAGTGTGGATTTCTGCACTGAGCAGGGGACTGCATTCTGTTACCTCAATGGTCTCATTAAATTCTGGGATCCTACCAGTACCCAGAGTTTCCCTAGTGCAAGACCGAGGAACCTATCTGGCTTTCGTGCTGTAATCTAGGGCCTGCCCTATATCCTAGTTCTGTTCTTCATGAAAGAAGTTATGGAAGCCACCATCATTCCTGCTACCTCTTGGCTGAAGCAGCTGCACTAGACTTTTCTGCAGGGGCAGACTGGCAGTCAGAAGCTTGGTCATCAGAATGAGGAACTTTTTATTCTTCAACCGAAGAGTTCTCACAAGGTGGGAAAAAAGTGAATTAGCTAGGTGCATTGGCCTTATTCCAGTAAACACGTGCTTCAGCAAAGCAAACCTGAAGACGCAGCAGAAGAGGCTGGAGATTCTCCCCAGAGAAGCTGCCACAAAGCTGGGGGAAGGGGGGAACTGTCCTAGGTTGGTCCCAGTAGGTTCTTTTCTCTGCTAAGACAAAGCAGTCAAGAATTCAAGAAGAACTGAAGTTAGATGAGGCAACAACAGGGATTAAATAAATTAATAATCAAGTCTTTTGGCCCCTTGTTGACTAACCTGTAACATCATTTTTCAAAGAGCTACCCTCCACTCCACAAGGTGTGAACGATGAGGTCAGAAGGGAATGAAGAATTCCTTTATTTACCATGGCCATTTATGAAACATTTTGGGGTGGTAAGGTTCATCCAGTGGTGAAGTGATGAGCCCAGTTGGTAAAATGAAAAGAAATCTATCCCACGAGCCATAGAAGATAGAGCTGATGCACTGTAGTTCAGCTGTTTCATGTTGAACTCTCCCTTGGAATTTTTTTTTCAAGAATTGTTAATTCGTACCAATGTCCTGGAAGGTTGTCATGTCCCTCTATAAGTTTTCAAATACTGGCATTTCTGTTTTCCAATATGTGTTCCTTTATTTTTATTTTTATTTTGCTTAGCGCCTGGCCTGTTCGTAAGGCAAGGTTGGCAAATGACAGCGTGCATTGTATTGGAAAACGTGGCAGATGACACCATGAGGTCCTGATGAGTCTGTCCCATCCTGCTGTTTTTAGGACGTTTGTTGTTTTAAAATGATTGGTTTGGGGTTTTTTTAAATGAGATTTGTGGTTTTTTTATGTGCCACCCAGACTTGGTGGAAATGGGTGAGAGATAAACTGTGTAACTAAATAAATAAGCATTGTCAGAGTAGATATGAGAACAGAATTGACATCTCATCGGCTACAGGATGTTGTTGTTGTGTAACCATTTCTGTCTTTTAGTCTTACCTGCCTCTTGTCTTGCCACAGCATTAACACTTTCCTATTTAGGAAACCCATTTTTCCTCAGAGACCAGAGTTATAGCTTGTATACCATACTTTTACGCAGTCTTTTAGTTTTGTTGGTTAGATTTATTTCCTCCCTTTCTTCCAGGAGCCTAAGGCAACCTCCACTGTAGTCCTTCCTCCATTTTTTTGTTATTCCGTTCTTTTCTCGGCTGCTTTTTCTCGTGTGGCTTCCTGTTGCAGTTGTCTTTAAAGTGTTTTATTGCATGCTTGGATTGTTCTTTCCTCCTTTTCCTAATAAGCTGTTTTTACTGAGTTGCATTTTTCTATTTCTATAAGCTGTCTTGAGGAATATGGGGAAAGGCAAGATAAATACGTCCTGGGCAAAAACTATATTACAGATCAGGGCTGGGCTGTTTTTTTTCCCCCTGTCAATGGTTGCATTCCCTTGGGTGATGGGTGGGGCTGAAGCAAGCAGTGGGTGGGGGCAGGGTGGCCCCTTAGTTTTTTCTCTCTCCCATTCATTTTCTCTTTCTGACACCTTTCTTTCTCTCTCAACAGCAGAACGTAGGGAAGCCAGACATATACCTTACCAGCACTCTCAACTGATCTCTTTTATAATTGAGTTTTACAATTCGATTTTTGAAATTAGGCTGATGTAATTACTACCGCAGATTGCCTATTCTTGTTATAAACCATGCTAACATAAGTTTGCACTGTCTATGAGATACACTTTTGTCTTAATTAGTGGAATTGAGCCTGCATCTGACATGGTATGTTAAACTATACCATTAGACCTGAGGCTCTGTGATGATTATCTTGAACTGTTTTTAATGACCTCTGGCTAGAGCAATAAAAGCGTGAAAAGGAGAGAAGTACTTTTATTCCTCAACCCAAGGGTCTTATGAGGGGGGGAAGCAAAGTGAATTAGCAATATATTAGTCTTGTTTCAGTTAAAGACTGGCGGTTGTTATGTTATATAAGATGACTGAGCTGTTCCTACTTTGTTTCTTTTGGGGTTTTTTCTCTCCTTCACTCCACTTTTGCATTTCTATTTGATGAAGGCCTCAGTACTACTTTGAGGGGGGGGGAAATCAATCAGCAGGGGGACCCACATTGCTCTCTAATTGATTCTCAGGGAACCCAAAATATACAGAGGCATAATCTTGTTTTGATAAGAATTTGCTAACTTTGAGTCACACAGACTCTTCATCAGAGGTAAAGGAGAGAGTGGTGAACATCATGGTCCAGAACTGAGAAGTCTCTGAAACTGTTCTTACCAATGACAGTAG